TTCCATTTCCAAGAGATGGCTCCCAGGTTATTGCATAAAAACATTATTAGGTAGTAAAACAGGCAAGAGACCGGAAGAAGATTTCTATCTCAAAGGGGAAAAGAAAGAATTTACAATTGAAACTTTTCTAAAGTAAATACTCTAAGAAAAGGGAGGTCAGGAACATAAAGTCAGGAAGCAACCTGTCTAAAGTTTAGTCAAGTTTGGAGGGTATGGAAGATGGTGGCAAGATAATTGGGAGTTGAACCCACTTACTCATGCACCCAATTGGGACACCTCGCCGATCTTCCAAGGAATGGAATGAACAGCTAACAGAATCCCAGCTGATATGAAGTTTGGAAGCCAAAGGTTGCAGAAGACAATTACATATTTCTAATCATATTATTGTTATTCCAAATCCCACAAAGCACCCTACCCTGGTCTTAATTCGTTCTGCTATCTTCCCGATCTTTATTACTGTTGCGGTTAACTTTATACTCACACACTATGCCAAGTTTCTATCCCTCACTTTCACTGTATCTCACCATCTAACCCCACATAAGTGCTCTGCTTTCTAAAGTCAGCTCGTATTCTTTTTCCCTTCTAATAAATGTCTTATTTCTTTTTTCACTTTTTATAAAAAGTGGCTAGTTGGGTGAGATATCACAGTTATTGTTGTACTTCTCCAAAGGACCTCCTACATGTTCTCTACCTGTTAGCACTTTAAATTCCATAGAACACTGTCCCGCTACCTAATTCCACTTCATCTTCACCCTGCAGCTGATCACATATAAGACAAGGTGGGAATTGTGAGTACCAGTAAACCCACTGGAGAAGAGAAACCACCAACACAGGAGTCACCAACAGGTAAAGCCCAAGTATGACAAGAGAGCCCACACACATGGAAGAAAGGGCAACCCTAGAGCACCCAGACAAGGAGATGAAAGAGACCACACCACTGAATCCAAAAAAATTCCTACAACAGAATTTCACCCTACAGAAGACAGCTGTCAAAGCAGAGCACTGAGAATCACAGAAACAAAATAAAAGAGTCACCTAAAATGTGGAGACAAAGAAAAAAAACTGCAATCAAAAGGAATGGAAGACTCCCCAGTAAAAGAGCTAAATGAAATGGAGGCAAGCAAACTCTCAGATATAGAATTAAAAAGAATGGTGATAAGGATGTTCAAGGAACTCACTGACAACTACAAGGAACTGAGTGGGAACTACTACAGTATGAAAAAGGAAATAGGAACTACAAACAAGAACCAGGAGGAAATGAAGAATATAATATCTAAAATTAAAAAAGACACTTGAAGGAATTATAAGCAAACTGAATGAAGCAGAGGACTGATTAGTGAGTTGGAAGACAAGGTAGAAAGAAACACCCAGACAGAGCAGCTGCACAAAAAACAACTTAAAAATATGAAGACAGCTTAAGGGAACTGCAGGACAACATGAAATTCAACAATATTCTATAATAGGAATACCAGAAAGAGAAGAAAAAGAGCAAGGAGTAGAAACTCTGAAAAAATAATGACAGAGAACTTCCCAGACCTGAAGAGGGGAAAAGCTAAGCAAGTTCAGCAAGCACAGAGAGTGCCAATCAAGATGAATCCAAAGAGGCCTCCTCCAAGACATAGCAATATTAAAACGCCAAGTTTTGAAGACAAAGAGAGAATCTTAGAGGCAGCAAGGGAGAAACGGAGTAATATACAAGGGAACTCCAACAAGGCTAGTGGCTGATTTCTCAACAGAAACACTAAAAGCCAGGAGGGAATGGCAAAAAAATATTCCAAGTAATGAAAAGCAAAGGCCTGCAACCAAGACTGCTCTACTCAGCAAGGCTCTCAATTAAAATGGAAGGTGAAATAAGGAGCTTCCCAGACAAAAGAAGGCTAGAAGTATACACTTCCACCAAACCAGCACTGCAACAGATGCTAAAGGGATTGCTTTAAGAAGAGGAAGAAAAAGAGCAAAAGAGAGAGAGGAACACAGGTACAAGGGGGTAAATGAATTAGTAACTATCAATAATAACCTTAAATGTTAGTAGATTAAATGCTCCAATCAAAATACATAGGGTAGCTAAATGGGTAAGAAAACACGACCTGCACATATGCTGCCCACCAGAGACCCACCTCAGAACAAAAAGACCTACACAGACTGAAAGTAAAGAGCAGGAATAAAAATCTAGTGCCACAATACTTGTATCAGACGAAGTAGACTTCAAAACAAAGGCCATAAAAAGAGATACAGAAGGATACTTCATTATACACAAGGGAAGAATTCATTCAGAGGACATAAATATTATAAACATATATGTACTCGACATAAAAGCACCCAAATACACAAGGAAAATCTTGAGTTTATCAATGACTTGTTTCTAGCGCTAACTAAACCCTTTCCTCTTTTCTGAGGCAATCTGCTTCTGAATGTGACTTGGAGGGGAACACTGCAAATTTAAGGGAGAATTTAATTCCCTGATTTAATATTTGCAAAATATTACCCCTGTCACACATTCTTAAGAAATGAAGCAAACATATGGGATAGTCACCTGGCTTTTGAAATGTTTTTAAAGACTTAACTGACAGACACAAAAACAAATGTCTTACTACTAGACTGAAGTTCTGTCTAACAATCTGTGCTTTCTCTTTTTAATTTTCATGAAAGCATGAACATTGCTACTGTTATCATCACCTAAAATGGAATTTATAAACCTGTATTCAGTTTACATGACTATTGTCTTAAACATGTAACCTTTCTGAAAATGGTGTTTGTCACTTACACATGGAGTATCATTGTCTAATTATAATAAGTAAAACACAAGTTTTATCAGCTATTTACTATTCTTTATTTTTTAAAGCTATCTTCAAGGTAATCTTAAATAACTATATATCATATATAATGTCTATGGAGATATAGAATACATATGGAGGGAGGGAGGGATGTGGGAAGCACAGGGGCAGTGGGCTGGGGTGGGAGTAAAAAACAGAAAACTATACTTGAACAATTAAATAAATAAATTTTTAAAAATACACATGGAGATATATGTTTTTATGTGTGTATGTATATACACATACACACAACGTACGAGGTCTGTCCAGAAGATATCTGTTCAGCCATATAATATGAAAAATAGATTTATTGAAAAAGATACAGGACAAATTGTACATAAGACAATGATGCCTCAGTCCCTTTCAATGTAGGCACATTGGGGCCTCACACAGTTCTCCCAATCGCCATCAGCTGCCTTCTCGTATTTTCCTGAATCTCATCAATGGTCTGAAATCTCTTCCCTTTTAGAGATGGTTTTACTTTTGGGAAAAGCCAGAAGTCCCAGAGCACCAAATCTGGGTTGTAGGGCGCCCAAGTCACCTGGGTGATTTGATATTTCACAAAAAGATGTGATACATGAGTGGGCAGGTTGTGTCGACGAAGCTTCCAATCACCAGTTGCCCATAGCTGCAGCCTTCTGAATGATCAGAATAGTTTCCACCGAAGAATGTTCAAGCTTAACACAAAATTTGATGCAGATTCGTTGCTCTACTTGCTCGATCATTTTGAATACAATAACCACGCAGTGCACATGCTCACTCAGCGGCGCCTGCTACCCCCACTGACTAGTACAGTAAAGTCGTCATTGTTCACACATGCTCATTCCAGTCCACTCTCTTTGGCTGCCAAGTTACATCAATGTTGTGCAAACTGTTCTCATTGTGTTAATAATGGCTGGACTTTTTCTGGACAGACTGGATGCATGGAGAGAGAAAGAGAGAGGGAGGGAATGATGGTTGAATAAAGTGCCTTCACTCTGAAACTTTTTCACCTTGATATAGAGAAAGTGTAGATTGTCACTAATTTATTTTGAAGTTTTTAAATTATATCTATTAATAAAGAAACTAAGTAACTTCAATTTATATTCTTTTGATTTTGATATGATTTTTTCCCAAATGTATAATGTTTTACTTTAACACCTAGCACTACTAAATTGATGGTAAATTTGGGAGAATGGTAATAGGTATGTTAGTTGTTACTAGTCAGAATAAGAGAGTAGAAATGAGATTTAGTAAATTAAAACCATAGACCTAGGATTGGATGGTGCTTATTTGGATATCTCGTGTGAAAGCTGCCATTTCCAACATCTTCTTTCATTTCATGGCCTTCTCTTTATATACTCCAGTCGTAGTTTCCTCCCCTGATAAAATGGGACAAATATCCTCCATCTTTATGTCACCAAGTGGCTATCTCCTGATTTCAATTTCATAGACAGATTCCGGTAATATAGCCTCTTTGCTCCTACTTTATTACAGCTCTCTCTCTCTAGAACGTGGTGACAAAGCTCATAGCCAATTTGAACACTGGGACAAAGTTGCATACTTTGAAAACCTTAAGGGACTTGTAGATTTAGAAGGCAAACGGTCAGTGGATCCCGAACCTCCCTTCCCAAAACCCGTTCTTACCCAAACACGCAGTACAGACCACACACACACACACACACACACACACACACACACCCCACCTGCACACATCCGGATTTACGGATCGTGCTTCACAGGTTAGATTCCTGTCTTCCTCACCTTTGATCTTTCCCAGCAACTGCTCAGATTATGCACATAATGAGCAACCGGGAAATGTTTGTGGAATTTTGTTGAACGTTCTGGGTTTTCTAATAAAGATAAGAAACAGGATAATTGTAGCATTCAGAGCCCAAACTGTAACCGGGTGGTGCGAGTGTCCTAATACAATTCAAGAGCGCTGCCTGTGAAAAACCAGCAAAAGGAACGCAGGGATTTGACAGCTACGCCTCCGGCGGCCAGCTTTCACACCAACCAGCTGATTGGTGGAAATACTACTCAGTCAAGAGCGTCCTTTCAGGAAGGAGCGGAGGCGGGTGCAAACCCAGCAATCCACACCAGCCCACACCACGCTCGCTTGCCAAAGCGAGACGCAAGGCACGCCGGGACACCACTGAGCCCCACCTCCGTCACCAAGGCAACCGGCGGGCCGCGGTAGTCCCGGGAGCGGCGGGTGGCTCCGTGGCTCTCTCCCCCGCCGCCAACGCCCGCACTCAGCCACGATGCTCCACAGCGACCCGACCGTCTCTAAAAAGAGAAAACACTTGAACCACCGCCTCAGGGGGCAACAGCGCTTGGCGCTGAGCAGCAACATCTACCTCCTAAGAGAGACTGGCCCCACCGGCTTCCTGCTGAGAGAGGAGGAGCCGGAGAACGGGGATTTTCGAGTAACTACCGCCCCCGTCTGCGTCCGGCCTCGCCCAGCCCACCGGCCTCCCGCCCTTGAGTCCCCCCAGGTTCACCCGCATCCATCTGTCCTCGCAGTGCTTGCTGCTACCCTCTGCCACCCCCTCGCCCGGCGAGTGTTCCAGACTGTAAAGATGCGCGTACTGCCGAGGGAACTAGTATTTGTTAGACAAGCGTCATTATTGGAGCTTAGGGGTGGCTCCCAATTGCATCCAGCTCTTGTAAGATGATGGCTCTTTGGGCTTGAAAAAGTGAGACGTTTCCTAGGAATATACGGTTTGCGTACGTTCAGGGATTCATTGTTAGCAGACCTTAGCCCTGTGACTGAAACAAACGAGGATTCTACGATCTGCATACCGTATATATATTTGCTAAATATTGCAAATCGGTTTTTCTTTAGTCACTCTGAGGCTGTAAGACTCCAAAGTATTTAAATGGTGGTGCCTTGGGAAAATCTTAATGATTTTTTATTATATAAAATTTATATAATAAATTTATTATATAAGTAAATCTATATAAATTTATTTTATAAATATATATTTTATATTATGAACGTATAATTATATTTATATAGAATAATTATTTTATTATATAAATGATCGTGTTTATTATTTATTTAAATAATTTAAATAAATTTATTTAAATAATTTATTGTTTAAATAATTTAATTTAAAATTATTCTTTTTAATTTTGCTGGAAGACCACAGATATTTTCAAATATTAGCATATCCTACTTTCGCGACTCAAAAATCAGCCACTGCACTGACCCTCAGTAGTTGTCTTGGAAATCTGTTAACTCAGTGTTGTGCATTTTAAGTAGAGTACAGGTCACTAACCTGTGCTTATTTACCCATCCTTTTATCACTCTGTTGCTTACAACATGGCATTTAATACATGTTTTTAGCCAGGGTACACTTGGTGAACAAAATTATTCTCCTTTAATAAAATTAAATAAACACCAAGTCAAGTGCACAAAAAAAGAATCCAAAATCTAAAAAAAAAAATGTCTTTAGCTTCACTGCAAGGTAAAATTTCCTCTTAGTAAAAAATAATTATAGAGGGAAGGAAATTTAAGGGGGAAGGGGGGAGGGATTTGGGGGAACAAATGTGAGGGACGCAGGGACGAGGGCTGGGGGGTGGGGGGGAGGTGGGGAGCGCGGGACGGGGTGGGGCTTGGATGGGAGAAATAGACAAAAAACTACTTAAAAAATAACTAAATTTAAAAAATTAGAAAAAAATAATTATAGATTTTTAAAGCTTTTAAAAGTAGATTTCTTTCCACTTAAGTACAGATCTTTTAAAAACAATCTTCACTGATAATGAAGGTGTTAACCAAGGCAAAGAATATGTTAATTGCAAAATCAGCCTGGTGTAGAGAAATAAGATGTCCTTCTGTATGATATTCTATGTTTCAGAGTTATCTAAACTAAATTACTTCTTGAAATATCTTTTAATCTAATTATCTATTAATTTAGTTTTACTCCAACTCTAAAAATTAACTGGAGTTTTTAAAAGTATGCATTTTTCTTTTAAAGGTTTTTCTAGGAAATCCCCATGTTTGTAACTGTTCCACATTTCAGAAAAAAGGGGAGCTTTGTAAGCATATATGCTGGTAAGTGACTTTGTAATGCGGATCTTCCACAAAGTAACATCTTAGTATATTACATGTTTTTCCTTTTTCATGGTTTGAGTACTGCAACATTAAAGAAATTTGGTGCTGGGAAAATAAAAAGGTAATGTGATCATAGCTTATCAATATACTTTAGGGTATTTTAAGTAAGATTTAAGTTGAAAAACATACTGTCACATCTACATGTTTTGAATGTTAATGTTTTAATAAGAAAAATCAGTTTTAGGTTCTTATTATGTACAAACGTGAAATCTAACTTATAAGACAGGAAAAATCTCCCTGATTGACATCATTGATAAGTATGTGGTTTGTTATATATATATTTTTAATTTCTTGTTTTCCTTTTCAATAAATATTTGACTATTTATTGAAGATAGAGTCTTTCAAGATAGAAGTAGGACTTCACCGAAGACTAGTTCTGTCAAATCTGAAATTTTTCCTGTAGTGTCAGAATCTATCTGTAAGGGAATCCCAAAAATTAAAGAAAAAATAACTATTTGCATTTAGTGTAACTCAGTTCATTTTGTTTACCTACTATACTTATACCAACAACTCATTAATTATACTCCTACAGAATGTGTATGATTGATATTTGAGAGAAAAAATGAAATAAGAAATTAAGAAAATAGTGTGTATCTCATATTTCCAGTGCTTTTGTTTACAGGTTAAAAATCTGTAGTAAGTAATAATAATCTGTAATCTGTTATTTCTTGTGCTTTTATTTACCAAATTATTTGTTTTATCAGCTTCTACTGAGTGCCTACTAATGTAAGTTATTTACTCAAGTTAGCATAAAGATATAAAATATGGTCCTTTCAAAACTTGCAATTTGGTTTCATTATTATACTTAAAATAGGTTTTCCCCATTTTTATCTGATGCCAGCTGCCTCAGGGCAAGGGCACCCTGCTCTGTTATTTACGTGATGGAAATCATTTCTTCCTGTATGTTAACTATGAACTAGATGGACATACAGTCCGAGTATTTAATATACTAAAATATACTTAATATAGTTGTAAGAATTCAATATATTGGGTTGCCCAAAGGGTCCATTTAGTTTTTTCTGTAAAATAAAAGACACATTTTTCATTTTCACCAATAACTTTATTGATTTGGATATTTTGAGTAGGGCAACTGTCTCCTTCATGGGGTAATGTTGATTGTTCTCAGTCGATTTTAATTTGATCGTTGTCAATTTCAATTGGTCTTCCCAAAAGTGGAGCATCATCTAGTGAGAAATCTCCAGCACAAAACTATTCAAACCACTTTTGACACATTCCATCAGTCACAGCACCTTCTCCATACACTTCATAAATCTTTTTTTGCATTTCACTTGTGTATTTACCTTTCTTGAAATAATAAAGCATAATATGCCCAAAATGTTGCTTATTTTCTTCCATTTTTAATAGTTAAATGGCTACACAAATTCACTAATTTTGATGTTTTCTTAAATGCATGCTAATATGACAGCTGTCACAATAAAATCTAACAAATTTTTTTCAAGTGAAGTTAAAGACAACCAAGTGCTACTTTAGCCATCTTAGAAAATCAAAGTTTTTGGCCAGCCCAATATATTTCCTACATTTAAAAAATAGCCATATTCTATTTTTTGGCCATATTCTAATTGGTGATGTTTGAAAATATTTCTCTCATACATAATAATGGTTTATATAAGAAAGCAATCACTACTCTATCCAGAAAAGTGTTCCATTTCTAGGAGTAGGAGACTTCAGAGAAAGTTCAGGGAAGAACTATGAACACCTGACTCCCTTGCCAGCCTCTCTCTGTGGAGGACTTTATGTCATGAAGGAATACATGGGCTCCCCCTGGCAGAAGCTCTTTACTGTAAATGTCTTTTGTTTCACTTATCATACTTTTTTTGCATATGCTTATTTTAAGGCGTGAATTTAACTACTGCTATAATAGAAAACTGATGAGAGTTTTGAGTTTATCCATGCACATTCAGCAGTACAAATTCTCTAATGTCATTCTTACTCTGAAATTAAAATGGAAAAAAAACCTTTTGTGGTTATATCAGAAATAAATGTTTTCTTTGTTGTTATTTTGTTTTTCTCCTGTGAATTTTAGGGTCTTGTTGAAAAAATTCAAGCTTCCAAAGAATCATGAATGTAAGTTATATGTGCTTTTATTTATTTTACTAATTTGAAGTTAGTAAATTTAATAATTTGTATTTAGATATATTCTAAATTTAGACAGTTATTTTTCTAGACAACTGTCTATAACCCAGTTTGTTACAATTAAGACAGCTGGAACATTTTTCTTCCCATTTAATGAAAAAAAGTAACTTCATATGGCATTTTCAAATTCAAAGGCACTTAATTTTTAAAAAGCGGTGAAACAATGGCCAATTATTCAGTAGAAAAAAATTCTCTCAGGGGTTCTAAGCAAAAATTCACAGTTTCCTGTATTAAGTTATTTTAACTATGAGAAAAATAAGTTTTAGATACCAGAAATAGACCATTAACATGACACATAATTTCATTCAAAATGAAATGTTTACTGTCTGAAGTTTTTATGCAAAAAAATATACATATTTTAAAGGAAAATAGTTTTTATGTTGGTACTGAAATTGAGTTTGAAATCAGACATAGAGTTGTATAACTTAAAATTCTAGAGCCCTCAAAAATAAAAAAAGAGCCCTGGCTGGTGTAGCTCAGTGGATTGAGCACGGGCCTGTGAAGCAAAGGGTCGCCGGTTCGATTCCCAGTCAGGGCACATGCCTGGGTTGCAGGCCAGGTCCCAAAAGGGGGACACAAGAGAGGCAACCACACAATGATGTTTCTCTCCCACTCTTTCTCTTTCCCTTCCCCTCTCTCTAAAAATAAATAAATAAAATATTTTTAAATGAGTTAGTAAATTTCTTTAAAAAATAAAATAAGATATATTTTTAGTACAAGTTATTTAAATTTTTATACTTTATATTTAAGATACTGTCACTATAAAAGTGTTCCCTACAGTCAATGAGTTATTTGACCTATACTATACTCATAGAAGAACTGTAACAGCATTTTTAATGTATTAATAAATGTTCATAATGTACGTAAAGCATTAAAGTGATAATCAGTTTTCATTTCTCTTAATTCAAAGAGTATCAGTTCTATTTACCCCCAGCTATTATATAAGTACAATCACTGTAGCTATTTAAAAGTTATACTAGATAATAAATTAATAGTAGTATTCCACAGGGATTTTTCTTTTTTTAATTTTTATTGAATTTATTGGGGTGACTTTGGTTAATAAAATTACATAGGTTTCAGGTGTACAGTTCTATAACACATCTGTATATTGTGTGTTCCCCATCCTAAGTCTCCTTCCATCACCATTTATCCCCGATTTACCTTCTTTTACCTGCCCCCAACCCCTTTCTCTCTGGGAATCGCCATACTGTTGTTGTCTGTACCTATGAGTTTTTTCTTTGCTTAATGCCTTCACTTTTCACCCAAACACCCAATCCCCCTCTCTTCTCACAGCTGTCACTCTGTTCTCTGTATCTATGAGTCTGTTTATATTTAGTTTGTTACTTTGTTTTGTTTATGAGATTATATGTCTCAGTGAAATCATATGATACTTGTCTTTCTCTAACTGGCTAATTTCACTTAGCATAATACTCTCAGTGTTCATTCTTGCAGTCACAAAAGGTGAGATTTCCTTCTTTTTTATAACTGAGTAGTAAGTATTCTATTGTAAATGTACCACAGCTTTTTTGTCCATTTATCTACTGATGGGCACCTGGGCTGCTTCCAGATCCTGGTTGTTGTAAATAATGCTATAATGAACATAACAGTATATCTATTTTTTCTGGTTGGTGTTTTGGAATTCTTAGGATATTATATTCCCACAAGTAGGATTGCTGGGGCAAACTCAGTTCCATTTTTAATTTTTTGAGGTAACTCCGTGCTGCTTTCCACAGTGGCTGTACCAGTCTGCATTCCCACCAACAGTGCATAAGGGTTCATTTTTCTTCACAGCCTCACCAACACTTGTTTGTTGATTTGCTGATGATAGCCATTCTGACAGGTGTGAGGTGCTATCTCATTGTGGTTTTAATTTTCATTTCTCTGATGATTAGTGACATTGAGCATCTTTTCATATACCTATAGGCTATCCGTGTGTCCTCATTGGAGAAGCATCTATTCAGGTCCTTTGTCCACTTTTAAATTAAATTTTATTTTATTTTTGCTGTTGAATTTTATAAATTCTTTATAAATTTTGGATATTAACCCCTTATCAGATGTGTCATGAATATGTTTTCCCATTCAGTGGGCTGTCTTTCCATTTTGTTGATGATTTCCTTTGCTGTACAAAACGTTTTTAGTTTGATGTAGTCCTATTTGTTTATTTTTTTCTTTGAATTCCTTGACTGAGGATATATATCAGGAAAAAATATTGCTACAAGAAATGCCCACGATTTTCCTGCCTATGTTTTCTTCTAGAATTCTTATGGTTTTGAGTCTAACATTTAAGTCCTTAATCCATTCTGAGTTTACTCTTGTGTGTGGCATAAGAAGGTGATCTAGTTTTATTTTTCTGCATGTATCTTTCCAATTTTCCCAACATCCTGTATTGAATAAACTGTCTTTAGTTCGTTGTATGTTTTTGCCTCCTCTGCCAAATATTAATTGACTATGAGGGTGTGGGTTTATTTGAGGGCTCTCTAATCTGTTCCACTGGCCTGTTTTTATGCTGTGTTGATTACTATGGCCTTGTAGTATAGTTTGATATTGGGTAGTGTGATTTTGTGGTAAGACCTACAAAAATGAATACACGGGAATTTTATATCAGTTTGAACACTGAGTATTCTTCCCCATCACCCAACAAATTATTTCCCAGAAAAACCTAGCTATATTATCTAGTAATGTCTTCTAAATGTCTAGCAAAAACCATCTGTTTCTTTTTAAATTAAATATTTGTAGATAAAATAAAAACTGTATTGAAAGAAAGTTTTTACAATCCCCACCACAAATATATAATATTTTTATTTTTTTATTTTCCTTTTTGACTTTGTATTTCTGTAAACCTAATAGTCTGTGGGAATTCTGTTTCCTGCTTTTTGTTTCTACTTGTTATTTTCTTTGTAAATGAAGCTTTTTATTCTTTCAGTTATTTCTTTAGCCTAAAATCTCATTAATTGGATCTCAGAGCAAAAGTATTAATTTTTACCGAGGTATAATTAACATATAATACTAGTTTCTGGTATATAATGATTCAATGTTGTATATATGTAGCAAAATTATTACTACAATACATCTAGTTAATATCCATCACCACATATAGTTATAAATTTTTTTCTTGTGATAAAGAATTTTAAGATATACTTTCTTAGCAATTCTCAAATACACAATACAATATTATTAGCTGTAGTCACCATGAATTATATATTTTATAACTGGACATTTGTACCTTTTGACCACCTTCATCAATTTCTCCCACCTCCCAGCCTCTGCTTTTGGCAACCACCAATCTGTTCTCTGTGTCTGTAAGTTCAGGTTTTTAGGTTTTTGTGGGGTTTTTTAAGTGTTAATACTTTTAAGTATGCTACACATATGTATTGCCAAGTTGGCCTTTAAAATACTTTTGCTGATTTACAATTTTGGCAATATATCAATTTTCTGCTAGTTTTATATGTTTTCTGTTAGTTACACATATAATGAAAGAAATAAACAACATATTTAAGTCTCCAAAAAAATTAAAGATACATAGAAATATTTTGAAGTGGTAATTTCTATAATACAGGAAAAATAATGTAGTCACACAAAGTGGGAATAAAATACCAGACACAAGTACCAGATGCATAGTAATCTATTCATACTTAGTAAATTAAATAAGAAAATGGTTTCCATTTTCCCATGCACCTAACATAGAAGATTAAGATGCTTTGAAATAATTTCTAAAGTACAAAAAGAAATACCATAAGCAAATAAAATATAACATTCTATGTATTTATTATTCTTATTCATTAAGTTGTATTTTGTATCTTCACCTTATTCTTATTTTAACTCACCATTTCTTGATATTAATGGAATTGAGTATCTTCTATTGTATTCTTTTACTGTTTGTACTTCATGTATGATTAGGGTGAACTTTGGCTTGTTTATTTATTGGGAGAACTACAAACTCTTACTAGATACAGCAGTTACCCCTCTTTGCAAATATTTTCCTAATATCGTAATTCTTTTTATATGGTTTTCTTAAATGTTGTTATACATACGGATTTTTTGAGTTCTTGAATCTGATCATTCTACCTGTTGTATATATTGCCTCAATACTTTGAAAGCTTTCCTTCTTCCATAGTATTGATAAGTAGTCTTTTGGAGGGTTTTTTTCTACTCGTTTCCTTTTTATTTTTATCCTTTATTATGGTATCCACATGTAGTTGTGTTAGTATAAGTTGGAGGTTGGTATTGGTTTGAATTAGTTAAATTTTTTCCATATGGCTTCCCAGTTACCTTAATATCGGTTACTTAGTAGTCTTTCTTTTCATCCTTGTTTCATAGTGGCTATCATTCAGTGAATTCTGTTACTTATTGTTTTATAATAAGTTGTGATATCTCCTAAAACTAGCTGCCTTGCTCTTCTCTTTAAAAGAATATTCTTTCATAGTCCCATACATTATTTTTTTCCAAATTAATTTGAAAAGAGTTTGTTTCTCTCTTTTATTCCCCAATTCATGCTGTACCATGTAGAACAGTTTGTGACCAACTTCTCCCATGAATTTCTATGTTTCATTGTTTCTTCTGACTTACAGAATCTTTGTTCTCAAAAGCACAATCTTTCGTGCTTCATTTTCCTCCCCATTTTTTTAAGGAGCAGACGTTGCAGTGCCTGTGACAGATAGCCCTCATTCTCCAAAGTGATTGTTAATTAAGGTCTGATACCCGCCTACATCCCACCAGCTACCCTCCTCAGACAGGGAACAGAGATTTCTGCATTGAAATATAACGGTTGTTTTCAGTATTTTCAATGTTTGAGAGTTACCAGGAAATGAAGCTTTTTCATTATCTTGCAAATAATTTAAATCTATATGTATTAAAGAATGTATTGGTCCCCTTGATTCAATATCATAACTCAAGGGACCGATAACAGCTGGCATTTAAATTACGGTGTGTTTAGGAGAGGGAAAGGAAAAGACGCATAAGGATAGGCGAGAAAATGAAGGAATCTGGGATGCCCTGATCAAAACTATATGCACTTAGAATACAATTTCTTATAAACACAGCAGGATAGAGAAAATTCAGAATTCAAAGAATGTGCATCCCAAGGGTACAGGCAATACAGGTTCTAATAGATTGTCCTGAGGAATATTTAGTAAAACTGTGTGGGATGTGGTGGTCAACACACTCTTTTAGGGGCATAAAAATGAGACAAGAGAAAGGGCACAATTACCTGAGTCTTGCTCTCCTATTATTTATTAATCTAACAAGTACTAATTACATTAATATTACTCAGGTACCCCTACTTCCCTTTATGTATCCACGCCCTGTTCCTTTTGATGTTTCTGAATGTTGATAAAATACTTGTTCATGGAAAAGTGAACAGGTCAAAATGTAAGACATAATTGTAACACCAATCCAAGGATGAACACTATCACATTATCATAAAATTAATAATTCAAAATCCTTATAATGCACTAGTTGAATTGACCATTTTTAGTGACAAAAATGAGGTAATTTCCATCCTTTTTATAAAAGACTCTTTTCTGACCATTTAGCTCTGAAAGGACTACAAAAAAAGTGGTAAAGTTGAGTGTAATAATTCAACCAAAACTGTCTTTCTGATATTTGAAAGAAAATGTTAACTTTCAGCATAAATTGTTACACTTATGTATCTTTTTTTTTTGCTTCCCTTGTTTCCTTGTGTTTGTCTTTTTTTTTTGCTTTGGGTTCTATTGTGAGGTTTTTTCTCTTTAATTTAGCTACTGAATTTTAATACTTTGGGATTTTTCACTAGATGCACTGAAGTTAGGTCTCATGGAAGGGGAAATCAATGACTTGCTTCAGGGAATACATCAAGTTAAAGTTCCCCAGGAAATAGAAAATGATGAAAACTCACATATCGAAGAAGGTGGATATGTTAAACAGAAGGAAATTGACTCTGATGATATCTGCTCTATTTGTCAAGAATTACTTTTAGAGAAAAGGCTTCCTGTCACTTTTTGCAGGTGATTTTTTAAAAATAAAACTTATGAAAAATTCTAATCTAATTTTTGTAATTTATTCTGTTACGAGACATGTTGATAGAGAAACAGTATATATTTAAACAACTATGTTTAATTGGTCTTCTTTTGCTTCCTAATGTATACTTTTTGAGAGGTCCTGTTCTTACTTTAAATATTCCTGGGCTACATTTTAAAAGGGCAAAAATTAAAACATAATTCCACTTTATTCCTCTTCTTACTTGAAGTTTATTAAAATGGAATAATTTTTACATTTTTGTTTTGATACATGAACACATGCCATGGTATAGAATAGTTACAAAGAGTTTTTGAAAGTAAAGATTGTTTTACTTTAAATGATAAAAATTGTTTTCATTGTTTCTGAACTCTATTTTTAAACTCAAACCATTCAAAACTTCACATAGATGGTTATTCAGAGTGTCATAGTCAAATATTCAATGTACTTGGACTTACAAAATTTGGGCAGCTGTTTGCTTTTGAACTTTTTTATTCTTCTTTTTATTCCTAATCATTTGCCAAAATTTTCATCCACATCATAATGTTTTGTATGACTGTTTTTATTGTATATTTAAAATGTATTAACTATTTCCCCAAATAGTCTTTCTCTTGGTAGATATTTATTGGGTGCTACCACATATTGTATGATTTCTCAAAAAAATTAGGTGATGCCCCGCCTTCAGTGATGCTTTTTATTTAGAAAGCAATGAGTATTGTTATAATGTTCTTTTTTGTTGAGATTATTGCATTCTCACTGTACAAATGAAAAGTACTTTAGTGCTGAAATTTTTTTACCACAGTTTTATTGGAATGGGGGGATTTGTTTGAAATTCTGATGTACTAAATTAAATTAATTATGATAGATTAGGTATACAAGAGAAGATAGGCCATGTGTTTACATATGTAATCAAGCTATATCTAGAAAATCAGAATGTATTTTTATGGGAGGTAAAGATAATAGCAGAGAAAATTTTATTTATGAAATACATACAACTTTGCATTTACAAATGGTAATATTGTTTAATTTTAACAGGCTTGGCTGTGGCAATAATATGCATATAAAATGCATGAAGATCTTCGCTAATTATCAGGATACAATATCAAACACTTCTATGTTGAAATGTCCTCTGTGTAGGAAAGAGTTTGCACCATTAAAACTTATTTTGGAGGAATTCAGAAACTCCAGCAAACTTGTGGCTGCAGCTGAGAAAGAGCAACTGGACAAACAACTTGGAATTCCCTGTAATAACTGTAAACAATTTCCAATTGAGGGAAAGTGTTATAAGTAAGTGTCATCAGTACAATTATGAGGGAGTATTTTTTTTTAACTTTAGGAAACTTTGAGCATCAGAGTACCATTCATCTAGCCTGCCTTCTTCCTTTCCTCCTTTATATAGTGTGTTTCCCTTTATTGCTGGGCATTTATTTAGGATTTCTAGTCTAGTGGTTTATGTCATCCCAGTACCTCAGATCATCGATTGTTTTATTTTCTTCACTTACACAAGGCTATTGGCTTCACACTCCTGCCCAGACTGAGAGTCTGAAGTAGTATCCTGCTTGGAAGTTCCAGACACAGGCTTTGTGACTTTGTCCTAGATGAATTTCCAGACTCAGAGCTTTGCTAGGTAGACTGCTCACCCTCTGTAACTTCCTTCGAACTACCAATTAGATCATTGCCAAAATCACTGCCTAGGTTTGAGCCAGAAGGATATTGACTAGATTGACTGAATATTTAATCAAGTTCCCCTGTTCCAAATAACAGCAGGTGCATTATTTTGTTTCCTTTTTTGTCTTATACCTCAACAATATATTTATTAGAGAAAGCAGTTTCCATTACTTTCACGAATAATCCCCAAAGTTCCCCACAGTTGCCACATAAAACATCATTAATTGCTCTGCTTGGGAAATTGTTTTTTCTTAATTAAAATTTTAAGTTAACTGTGTGTTAAGAAGAAAATATTTTATTTCAAGCTTAACTATTCTGCTAAAATACATCAGTTTACTTTTCAGTCTTCCTGGAATTACATAATGAGTCCGGTAAATACATTTTTAAACCGTCTCATAAAACCATGAAGCTGTTTTTATCCCCCTAACCTTTCTCCTTTGAACTCTTCTAGTCTTTTTTCTCTCCATGTGTCACATAGAAGAAAATTAACTACAGCATCATTAGCAAAAGTCTTTATTGGAAAGCAGCTGGCCTGAGAAGTCTGCAAAGGAATATTTTACTTGAGGAGGAAGGGCAGAGTGTTTATATGGGTTTAACAGGAGGTGTTCAGCTAGTTTTAGAAAGGTTGGTTAAAGGGGTTTTAGAAACAGGAAAGACTCATATCTGGCATTAGAAGCCATTGTTTGAGTGATTTAATTGTTTCAAGAAGGGTGGATCAGAACAATAAGGAGCTAAGGTTACAGGCAGAAAACTGAATGTTCAAAGGAACAGCTGTAGGGGATAAGGACATACGAAAGCCACAGCGTAACCCTGTCCATCTTTCTAGTAATATGTTCCTCAAGTGGTTAATGTGTGGTTTTGGTAGATGGTTTTAAATCTTGCTTTTGAGTATTTTGTTAGTGACTATGTGTATATTCCTCTGTCACTCTGAGCTGACTGCTCCTTCTGTTCTCATCATAGATGATTTTTCTTACAACCCCTCAATACAGGCTTTCCCCACTGTTCGCTCTCTGTCTGATGCTGTCTACACTCTCCTTCCAGAGTAACTTCTCTTGGGTTTGACTCAGAGTTATTCACTTCTGTCTCAATCCTCTGTTACAAATTAAAGAATAAATTTCTAACATTTTTGACTTCACTAACTTCCATTTCCTCAAATACTAACATATCAGTCACTGGCCTAAAAAACCTATCGCCAGTAGTTTTTGGAGTAGGAGACAAGATAAACTGGAAGGCTTTTCAGGTCCTTCTTAGGGTTTTACGTTATAGCTGCTTATCTTTTCAGAAGCTAATACCATAATATCATAGATATGTGAAAACATCAAAATGCTTAACTTTTGGTAGCCCAGCATAATTGTGTTGTTGAATTAATTGTACTATTGCTCTGATTTGATTAATGTTAATTGTTAAGAATCTTCCCTATATGTATAAACAGTAATGATGAATAAATTAGCACTTGCTACTTCTAAGATGACTGAAAGACATAGTTTCCCACATTTCTCATGGAAATCATCTTCTAAAGTTTAAGTAACTTAAAAAAGAAAATAAGCTTATTTGCTCAGAATATTACTTTATTGGTGAATATTGCTACAAGTAAATTAGAATTCTCTGCTGTGGCAAAATTTTTATAAGTGATACAAATCTGCAAGTGAACTTTATGGAAAGTGAAGTTCGTTTAAAATATGTCAATAATTTTTATTGAAAACCTTTTATGTATATTTATACCTCCTTCCATTTCGTGAAGAGAGAGGATATAATACAATTCCTGTTTTCAAGAAGTTTCCTGCTAAGTATAACTCTAGCTAGCATTCATGAAACAATTGGAAAACACTGGATAATTAAATGATAGAATACCTAAAAGACTGCTAGTTCCATGGGAATTTAGAGAAACAGATAAATGAAAACTGAGGTACCCCAGGAAGACATTATGGAAGAGATATGTGGTAGGCAAAATAGTGCCCTCCAAAATATGTCTCCATCCTAATGCCCAGAACCTGTAGGTTTGCTTACACGTTGTAGGGCAGTTAAGATTTCAAATGGAATTACGGTTGCTAACCATCTGACCTTGAGGTCAATTATCCCAGATTACCTGGCCCTAGTATAATCCCAAGGAGTCTTACAAGTGGAAGAAGATCAAGAAGAGAGTCCGAGAGAAATGTAACTATGAAAGAAAGTCACAAAGAGATGCTGTATTGCTTGCTTTGAAGATGAAGATAAGCTAAGAAGGTGGGCAGCCTCTAGAAGATGAAAAGGACAAGGAAAGAGATCTGTCTAGAGCATCCCAAAAATGCAACTTTGCAAACCCTTTGATTTCAGCCCATTGAGACCCATGTCAGACTTCTATTTCACAAAACAGGAAAATAATAGGTACTGTTTGAGCTGCTAAATGTGTTGTAACTTGTTCCAGTAGCAATAGGAAACTAATACAGTGTGAGGCATTCAGGATGGGTTTTGTCATATCTGCAGAGTCCCCAGGAAATTTCAGCCAGAATTTTTCATCAAAAACCATTAAAATAATTTGATTCTTTCATGTATGTTTTGCATTTTTAGGTGTACCAAATGTACAGAATATCATTTATGCCAGAAATGTTTTGATAGCTGCTGCCATCTTTCTCACTCATTTACATTTCGTGAGGTACAGTATGCATTTTGAATTTCATATAGTATTTGTCCTATTGTAAAATAAATCTGAGAATAATAAGAACATGTCACACTCTGGAATAGAGCTGAGTGAATTTTAATAAAAACTGAAGACCATAATTTGGGAGAAACTCTTTTTCATAAGGATGTATAAGACAGCCAGTTCTTATATTTGTAATTTATAAAATCCAACACAATAACAAACATGATAATATTATACATAAATCATAAGCCATTAAGCTTGAAGATTCCTTTTTTAAGACTTCAACATCACCAATTGACTTACCACATCACGGTATTGATATGCAGCCTATTAATTTTAATCCATGAAATAAACATTTTTATGATTTGCAAAGTAACATTTCCTTTTTACCCATCACAGAAGAGAAACCAAAGATGGAAATCAGTAGAAAAAAGATCAGATCAAATTGTAAATATAGATATTAAAAATGATGTGGAAGAAAAGATGCCACACTATCAAGAAAAGCAAGGGTGAGATTCTAAGTGAAATTTATATTTCTTGTAGGACTGGGATGTTTATGTAATTTCATTCATTTCCTTATTCAACAAATATGAATTTAGCACTTGTTATGTACTAGGTGACATTACTGTGTGCAAGTGAAGAGCAAGGCTCTGCAGTCAGGCCGCTTAAACTCCAGCCTGCACAAGCACAGGCTGGCTGTGTGACCCTTGGGCTAGTCCCTCACTTCTCTCTGCCATATTTTCTTCATCCTTGTAGGGGGAATAATTCTAAAACCAGCCTCCCAGGGACTTTGTGAGATAAATTAATACACACAGTAAATATTCAAATAATGTTATCTATAATTATTATTAATTGTACCAGAAATTCTACTGGGTATTAGGGAAATAGCAATTTCCTCAATAATTAATGATCATCTTAATAAATGGAAAATTAAAACTGACAAGTGATAAAAAGAAAAAATAGATGGGGATTTGAGTTTTGCTTTGAAATAACTGGCTTCTCGGGGAAGGACGTCTCTCCTGCCTCGTTCCCTCTCTCCTCCACCCCCTTGGAGGAAGAGTACTAAGCAGATTGATTGTATTTTAGAGCACAGATTGGACTGTTTGCTAGTGGACAGGCTTCAGACCTGATCCACCAATTTATCTTAGTGAACTGGAATATTTAACATGGCTTACTCTGTGCCTTCCTATCAGCTGACAGAGTAGATTGGGTTGTATTTTTCTAAAAAAGTTAAAATTTAAAAAACTTACCTGTTGGCTCAGACTGTAGTAATTTGAGTATGTGGTTCTCATCAAAATTCTTTTGTTGTTTCATTTACATTAAAAAGCACAAATCAGAATTTTCAGGTTAGTATTTTTATTTGAAATGACTAAATTTTTTTCTTTAAGAAGGTAATGTTAAAGTTGGGTCCATCGTGTTCAGGATCAATAACAATAGATTTTTTAAAAACTTTATATGTGTGAGATGTACTATCTTCAGAAGAAAACATTGGGTTTATATGCATTGTTTAAATGGAGGCTGTTACCTGGGCTGTTGATTACTTCCTGGTCTGTAATCACATCTGAACATTCATGTGTCTGCTTATTCTCATTCAGCCAGGTTTACACCCCGAAACAGGCGGTGAAGTCCCTGCCTCTTTTAGTGATCACCAGAAGCAGCGTGCTGCTCGCTCCAGGCTACCAGTGTCGGCTTTGTCTGAAGGCGTTTTGTCCTGGTCAATATATAAGGTTGCTCCCGTGTACTCACAAGGTAGAAGTCAGGTTTTACTTTGACTTTCCCTATAGGGCCAGTTTTCCCAAATAAAGTGACAAAGCCTTTCACTTTTCAGTTGTGTTACTTGCAGATGTTCAGACTGCACGGTGGGTGTGTAGAGGAGCTGCAGCAGAGACTGCTGAAAAGGCAGCTTCGCCCCCTAAGCATGGATCCCTGCTGATGAGGACCCGTTTCCGTATACACACACTGTCTGGGAAGGATAATGGCCCTTTAAGTTAGAGTCTTTTGTCTACTTTAGTTATCTGCAAAAAGGAAAGGCTTATAGAATACAAATTTTTAATGTATTTTTGTGATTCTTTAGATGAAACATGCTTAATTTAACATCATTTAATATTTTAAATGAACTGACTGGAATCAAAGTCTATGTTGCTCAGTCACTGTGCAGTTGGTAACCAGGTTTTCTCTGAAATAAGCTTATTTCTTTTTAAATTTTACTTTTCAATTACAGTTTACATTCAGTATTACTTTTGTATTAGTTTCCAGTGTGCAGCATAGTGGTTAAATAGTGGTTAAACAATCATATACTTTACAAAGTGACTCCTCTCTTGATATCCCAGTACCCCTCTGGCACCACGCATAGTGAACAAAATATTATTGACTGTGTTCCCTCTTTACATCCCCACAAGTGTTTTGTAATGACCAATATAGAAAGAAACACACTCATAGATGCAGAGAACAGACTGATGGTCGCCAGAAGGGAGGGGCACGGCTGGGGGGCTGGGTGACAAAGGTGAGGGAAGTAAGAAGTACAAATTGGTGACATGAAGTTGTTTCAATCAATAATAGCTATAGAGTCACCCTTAGCTGAAATGTCTGATAATCTTTCTTCCCAATAATGTGATTGATTTTATATCTTACCATCATCAGGTAATTTTCAACTTGAGTTGGTTATGACTTTTTTATTATTTAATAATTTTTATTTATTAGATAGAGACAGTAAAATTAATGACTTGAATAAGTAATTTTCAGTGAAATTACAAAAATCATATTATAGAAGGCTTTCTTTCCATTTTAATGTTGAAAATGGACATCCTAATATGGGTATATTATATTTTATGAAAGTAAAATACTTATAATACTATAACCACATTCATAATGGTTTTGTCATTTTATTTTCAAGAAACTTATAACCCATAACCAATAACATATTTAAGTGAACCTCTTCAAAATATTTTCATAAAACTAGATAAATTATAGTTACCTTCCATTGTTGCTAGTTTGATAGTAACACAATAATGTAACAGGAAAATTTATATATGTAACATATATTATAAACAAGATAGTTATACCCCTGATTAACTTACAACCTTTTCTTTTAAGTTTCATAGGAAATGTATTGATGGTTGGTTATTCTACAAGTGCAATTCATGCCCTCTTGATGGACAAGTTATATATAATCCTTTAATCTGGAGAAATTCAGCAGTGAATGGATGCATATCTCATTCTGATTCAAACACAGACATCAGTCATCTGTCAAAACAGGAAGAATCAAGACTTTTTGTTCCTGGTACTGGATTAGTCTTAAAGCAAAATAGACGTGGAATTTTACCTAACATCCATCAGCGTAATTCTGCAATGTCGAATACACCTCAAAGTTCCACAGATACCTATCAGAATATAACAACAGATGATCCACACTCTATCAAATTAGATGATTCAAATTTAAGAAAATTAATATATGAATATAAAATTAGCCAACATTTCCCCAGGTATCTTCAAGATTTGCCCACTAGAAATGTTGGGAGAATATTATCTCAAACATTTTTTCCTTCTATTGCTCCCAAGCATGTGTCCCAGTGGAAGAGAAAGCACATGTATCAAAGGAAAATACCACACTGGTCAAAGCCAGAAGATGACCGAAGGCGGTAAACACATTAACCACAATTTAAAGAAGATTCGTGGTACTAAAATGAAAGAGTAAAATAGGAGACCCAGTGATTGCAGAAGATTTAAGTTTTATTGTCAATTGGAATACAACTAAGTTTGACTAAAAAACATGATAATTGTATGGGGAAAAAATGTCATCTATCAAGAAGATCTTTATCTCATCCTTTAAATAAAAAAATTCAGCTATATTTAACATTGGAAGGAGTTTAGTTCTGAAAATATACTTTAGACTAACATCAGAATTTTCTAATATTTGGATATTGAACATAAAATATTTTATTTGTAGAACAGAAAACATTATGTAATTTTGACAAATGTATATAAAATTCTTTGTTGTCATTTTGCTTACCTGTCTACACTTAAAGGAAATTAGTCTACTCCTTATAAGACTTAAGGCATTAGGCGTCTTGATGAGTATGTTCAGTATGTTACTAATTATGAATAATTTTTAGAACTTTTATATCTGAGTTTACACTGATTAAAATTGTTATTGCTTCATTTCAGGAAATATATTTTCCTTGCATTGAATCATTGTTTTTCAAACATTCCACCTGATAACATATAATGGGATTCTTTCCATGTACTTGTGTAATTTTTGCATTTTCTTATAGTCATAATCATATAGGTATAACATGGGAGGGAGTAATCAGGGGAGGGAGGTGGGGAATCAGGAGAGGAAAAGGCAGACAGCATACTTGAACAACAATAAAATCTAAAAAATGGGGAAAATTAAAAATAAAAACAAATTTTAAAAAATAAAAAAAAATAATCACAATAAACTTATAAGTAAATCCAGATGATAGTTTTCTTTTTTATTTTCTTAAAGTAGTTCTCTTATACATGAAATAAAAATAAAATATACCCATAATACCATAAGTTATGCACATTTATAGTGGCTTTTGAGTACTAGCAAATTTCCTAATACAATCAATATTAAAGGATCTATGTTTTAAAAAACAGCTCTATTTCCAAGATAATTAACCATTGTTTTATAATGTTCACTTTATAAAGGAGAGTTAACATACCCTTATGGCAAAAATATAAATGTGTATTTTTGCCTTATCCATGGAATGAGAACTCTTTGTGATCCTCTTTTTTCACTGAAATAGAAAGGATGCACTCACCACACCAATGTATCTGAGGACGTGTTGGTCTCTAGTGAAAACATCACATCTGACATGGCCACTGCAGTTGAGATTACCACTTCACTGAGTTTGTGGTTTTGACAGTCTGCTGTCCTCTTTCCAAGATCCGTCTGGTTTTTGAAGGGCCACAGTGGTGAATTAAATGAATACCTGATATGGACCAACAACTGTGCAACCTATAGATTCTCAAGGGTGACACTAATTTCTACCATTCTCCTTGGAATGGAATATTATTTTAGATTTATTTCTTGGATGAGTTTGGGGAACAGTTTTAGGGGCTTCCATGTGGGTTTGATTGCCCTTGTCCCAAAAGCCAAGAAGTCGGTGTGGGACTTGTATTAATTATTCAGTATATTATTCTCAGTTATACTTTCAGAGGCTGGGGAAATAATTGCTAGGCATCTGAAGAAATAGTGTATCTATCACAAGCCAGATGTTTCTCAGGATTCCATTTATTACTTGGCTCCCATTGGCCCCAATTCTAATAGACCATAATAGTGCTTCAACTTTCTGGGTATCACTGCCAATTCAGACTGGGTCCAACAGTGCTCAAAATGTTTGCCTAGTCCCCTACCCCCAATACATAGTATTAGGGTAGTGAATTTACTGAGTGACCAATTTACTGAGGACTTTTCCAATTTCAAAAAAAAAAAGTCCCATGTGTCAAGAAGTACCTTAGTTCTGGGAAAACTGGGATATTGGCCACTCTCGTGGTTACCCAAGTGAATGAAATTTGAGGAAGGAGTGGGGAAATGATTACAAAGTACATTTGCTGTGCTATTGCAATTTATTTCCTATTAGGGACTTGGCCTGCTCTTCAGTCAATAAATTGAAAACTATCTCAGGTCCAGAAACTTACAACTGCATTGTGAATTTTTTAATTAAAAAAAGTTTTTTATTATTACAATTTTTTATTATTTTTCAAGCACAGTTTCCTGCCTTTTCCCCCCACTCCTCCCCACCATCCCAGCCTGCATTATGACTTTTAATAGGACAATTTCCTTGGCCTCCTGGTCATTTGTTTTTTGAAAATATCTTATTTATTTTTAGGCAGAGGGGAAAGGAGGGAGAAGAGGGGAGAAAGAAACGTCAGTGTGTGGGCACTGCTTCCGTGCTCCCCCCTGGGGACCCAGCCCACAACCTAGGCACAGGCCCTGACTGGGAATTGAGCCAGTGACCCTCTGGTTCACAGGCTCGTGCTTAACTCACTGAGCCACACCAGCCAGGACCCTTATAGTGGTACAAGCTGAGTGGGATATCCTTATTGGGTTCCCATCTGTTACGCCCCTAGTGACTGTTTGATTAACCATCTTCATCTCGCTTCAGGCCTCCTAACGGCTGCTACTCTAACCCTGCCCCTTATTACTATAATTTCATCCACCTGGATTTGGCAATTAAGTGCCACCACCTGCCCTTTATTTGGGACCAATTATCCTCGTGTATATCACTAAGCCTAGTAAAAAATATCCTCTCCTACTGTCAGCCCAGGGTTACAGAAGAGAGCCACCACTGAGCTTTTAGTGATTCTGGTGCCTCTCAACAGGACATTGTTTATGGCTTTTGTAAATGGTGTGTTTTAAAGGCTTTCCCATTGGACATAATTTGGTGAGGCTCCTGGCCTAAAAAAGTATGTTCACTCCAGCATGCTGGCTTCCATGACTTTTTAAATCCTTTGGTCTGCTGTCTGCCTTGGAATTCTGGTATCTCACCTTCACTTAACATGGACCATTGTTCTTCCATATCTCTAAGAGTCATCTCAATAGTGAGCGTGTACCTTCATTTGGATGGTTCTCACCAGCCATGTTCTCAACCAGCTGTTAAATCCAGTATCACTGGGATGCTTCCAAGTCAATAAACCCTTCCCAGTCCAATCATATTTTCTGGTCCCCTTCATTAAGCACTCTCAGAATTCAGACCCGCAGATTCTCTTCCCGGATCTGCCAATACATAATAACTAGGTCTTGCAGCTTCTTTAGAACATTAGGCCTCATGAGCAGTAGCATATGCCTGACTGAGTTATGCTGTGATTTAATCTAGTTGTAGGCCTAGTTGCCATAACACAGGGTGAAGGCAGGTCCTGAAGGCGGGCACATGACTTGGGAGAGGATTCTGTAGTACTGTCTTGAGACCAGTCGAGGACGCACAGGTTCACACAGGATTCCGGCAGATGGAAGGAAGTTCCGGGGAGCCACTGGAATAGTTAACATGCCTTTCTTCTGGGGTGGGGTAATCCACGCATGCCACAGCCGTGTGTGGCACTGTGGGGAAGTCCCAACTCCCGTATATACTAAGTGCACGCATAACCGGTAGGGTGCCAATACTGACCTTCAAGTTGTACAACAGAGCTTCATTTTACGCATGTGGGCCCATACTCAAGGTTATATGAACACTGCTAAGTTTTATTTGTCTGGACAGCCAGGCGAGGGAGCCTGACCGACTCCATTTTCCCAACAAGTATCTTTGAGCAAAGGGAATGGGTAAGCTCGCCCCTAAGCAAAAAGGTCAGCTCACTTGAACATTTTCAGAGAGTTCAGAAGAGTCCAGGTGTTCAAAATATTCAGGATCCATTAGCCTGATACACTAAGGTTGTGGGTTCACTCCCCAGTCAGGGCTCATACAAGAATCAACCAGTGAATGCATAAATAAGTGGAACAACAAACTGATGTTTTTCTCTAACTCTCTCTAAAGATCAATCAATAAATGTGGAGGGCCATACATCCAGATGCTCTCTTCCCCAATATTAGGATCCTGTTTTTTCTTTCAACAGGCCCTGATCTTGTTATAGCTAACCTGCCTTGATTAGGTATTTAACCTTAACTGGAGCTTTATCCCTCTTTTCGCTCCTAGGCCTCAGCTTTCTCTGTCTTCCTGCTGTAGGGGAGCATTTTTATAAGTTAGCATGAAGGACTGTTGGCTTTCTTGTTTGATGTTCAATTGCCCACACCTCCTCATGACCTTTTTCTAGGGGAGCATGGTCCCCACTGCCCTTATCGCTTCCCCAGTACTTCTCAAAGTTCTGATACTTTACACCAGCTAAGGCTGGTGTAAACACAGACCCCCTTTCTCACCATTGTAACTCACCAATGAGGAGAGTTTTAATAATTTGACATAAACCTATGCCTGAGGGTGTCTGTGTTTCACTTACAATAACAGGGTTCTTATTGCCACCTGGGCTGAACGTGATCCATCTTCCAAACCCCACTGTATCACCTACTTTCTCATACCCCTTCCATTACCAAAAGATACACATTATTTGTTCCAAAGGCAGATGCTTAAATAGAATTTGGTGTGTAAGGTATTTGTTAAGCATTAACACCTGTGCAAAGGAGGAACGTGATCCTGTCTTTATTGAAATTATGGTGTTTTATTCATCATCTTACTTGACCTTGGTCCCACTTCCCTGGGAAAGAAAACCAAAATTGGCAGAAGGAGAAGTAGAACAGGGTGAAGGCCATCCCAGGGATGGGATGTGTGCTTCTGACCTGGGCGGTGCTCTGTGGCTGGGGCAGACCAAAGAAGCTGACAGCTGTAGACCCTCAAAGTGTTGATCGCACGCCCACCAGCAGCTGAAGTCACAAGTGCTTCCTTGGCCAATCCCAACAACACATCACCTATTTAAGCATAGCTGGGGGTTGTTATTGAGTTAAAAACTTTGAGGGGGTAACCGGTAACAGCAAGGAGGAAAAAAGTCTAAAATAATTCTTTTTGTGATAAATATTACTTGGATAAATGAACCAATATCTGGGTGTTTTGCTTGGATATTTGGGAAACCACACTTCCCAGCCCCGATGTGGTCAGGTAGAATTCTGTGACTAACTCAGGTGAATGAAAGGAGAGGAAAAGTGAAGGTTGGCACTTGCAGCCGGACATGGTGAGAAGCTCCTGCACCTTCCAGTTTCTCTTTCCCAGCCCAGGACTTGGAAAGCCACATGGTGCGGCAACAAAAGAGCAGGGCCTCCAGTAGCTTAAGGTAAGCACGAAAATGTAAGTTGTGAGCTCAGAAGAGATTTGGGCCGAAAATATAAATTTAGGACTCATAAGCATGTTGAACAGAAACTATGTAAA